TTCTAAGCTAGAATCTTTAAATTATTTTGTTTTACCTCATTTAAAACTGTATTTTATTTCAGATATATACAACTTGTTCTAGTTTCATTCATAGAGATGTTGATATCTTAATTATGGATTATTCGTAGAGATGTTTATATAATTTCGTATTTTACCAGTGAGTCACAGTTTTCTTCCCAGATCAGGAGGATGAATTTGGAGAGAATTTATTTTAATCCTCGTCTTTCAGATTAAGAGGATGATTTCTTCCTATGTGGGGGAGAATGCAGAGTTTGAGAGACAATACCTCGAGGGAGAACTAGAAGTGGAACTCACCCCCCAGGTAACATACTGTGATCATTTCTGTAGCACCCCACCCCATAGCAACAAACACATTCTTATTTATAAGTCAACACCTGTCTAAGGTAAAACCTGTGATTGTTTTAATATAATTGATTTCTCCTTTGTTTTCTCTTATTATGTCTAGTTGATTATGGTTGTTTAGCTGCATCTGATTCAGTATTTTTTAAAGAATGTAAAACTACAGAATTAGACTTTGTCTTCTCCACCTGTCAATCATAAATTTAAGAAAAGTTTGTCAAAGGACCAGTTATTGAAATCAATGTTTTCATCTGTTTAGGGGACTTTGGCTGAGAGAATTCGGGCTGGCGGAGCAGGTATCCCAGCATTCTTCACTCCTACAGGGTATGGAACACTCATCCAGGAGGGCGGGGCACCAGTTAAATACAATACAGATAAAACCGTAGAAATCATCAGCGATCCAAGGGAGGTAAGCCACTGATTCCTCTAATATCATACACACAGTGGATAAAGCTCTATAGCTACTGTCCAAGAACATTTCAAATATTACCAGTTTTTAAATGTCAACTGCTTTTGAGAAAGCAAGGTGACATTTAATCCCATTACTCTGGTAGTCTGTATGTCTGTCACAAAATGTTTAAGTGAAGTTATAACTTTTGAATGAGAAAAGACAGAGCATTCATATTTTACATATACATCACCTGTGACAACATCTCTCAGAAATATCTATGATTTTTGACTTCAGGTCCTTAATTATGACCTAGAATTTTGACCTACTGACCTAAAATTTTAATTTGGGCTCAATGGGCTGTAACTTTTGGATGAAAGCCATCTCAATTTTTGAGAGATGGCCTGACATGACAGTCAAGACTTGCTATAATAACTGCATCTCAACCCTGAGATACCAAAAGCTGGGGACAACAATTCTTTGAATTTATTTTTTTGTCATGATAAAATGAGAAAACTGTTAGAAAAATGTTTACTCTAAGGCCATAATAAAAATATTCCTAGATTCTCATCCCCGCCCGTCCCGATTTTATACCCCCGCCTCGATTTTTTTTATTTCTGTTTTTCCTCGTCTTAATTCTGATCGGGATCGGTATTCATCTACCATTCTACTTTCGTTTTAAATCCCGCGAAAGTCGACATGATTTTGACAGCTGAAAAGATTGTAATATATGCGTATATAATTTAAACAAGGGTCATTGGTTGAAAAAGATTGGTGATGATGTGAAGTAAGAGATAATTGAACCTTTATAACGACTTTTTTTCGGGTATTGTAAATAAAATTACACCGATTGACCTGGTAAATAAAAATTCTGCAAAATTGAAAAAATAAAAAATATAAAATAAAAGCCGCCCGCCCGCCTCGATTTTTAAAAAAATTCGGATGAGAATCTAGCAATATATTTATTATGGCCTAACACAGTACACTTACTGGTAACTTTTGTTCTAAGGAGGAGAAACCAAGTTGAATTTTATTTTTCAGTTTGTGAAATTACTTTATTTTATATACTGAGGATTAACTGTAAATAATTTAGTTATAAACTCAAATAATCCATTGCAAATGTGTGTATGTGTTTCTAATATTGTTACATGGGAAATTGGAAATTTTTCTTCAGCAGTTTGGATCATTTCCTGAATATCTGAAGTGTAATACCTACTTTTTATAGAACATTTAGACGCCTCTTAAATATAAGCTGAAAACGTCTTTTAGAACGATTTATAATTTTTTGAGAGGAAAGGAAAAAGGGGGACCTGGGACTGAAGTTGAAACACTTATATATGAAAAGGGTACAATTGTTGTATTCCAGCTGAAAATTAACAAATCTTAATGTCTTAGCACATTAAAAGTGTTTACCAAACAATCTGCAGTAAATGAAAAGACAATTAGCTTTTACATGTGCATACATGTCCAAGACCAAATTTGATGTCAATATCGACGATATCGACAAAATAATGTCGATATCATATCGATATCAATCCTCATCAGCATAATAAATATTGGAAATAATTGATACATATATGAGACTTGGTTCTATGTCGATGTCGTCGATATGGACAATACCATGACGATATCATATCGATATAGATCCTATTTAAATACAATTCATTTTCACAATGAGGTATAACATAATTTTTCAATACCACAAGTGTTGTCGATATTGATTCATTATTTGCATGAATATGGAAATAAAGGATGATAAACAAAGGATTAGGAGCTGTTTTTGTCTTCGGTTAGGTTTAGAGTAAGATGTTGGGTTAGGGTGAAAGTTGAAAAGTAAGTTTTAACAATCATAATTCGATATCGATACGATATCGACGATATCGACAGTAGGGTCAACTTATTTATCAGAAAATACATATAAGGAAACAGAATTTGTGAAGGGTGAAGGTTGGTAGAGCAATTTGTGTTTAACAATCATGACTCGATATCGAAACGATATCGACGATATTGATGGCAAGTACAATCTTTGAATAGGTAATTATAAACTTACATACACATTATTAGGAACAGGGATGTTATTTACTAAGGGTTGTGCAAACATGATTCGATATCGAAGTGATATCATCGATATCGACGATATCGACACTACAGGGAAAGTTTTATAGGTTATAATTTTCAAGTAATTTTCTAGCACTTTGAAAAACACACTTTGAAGGATGGAAGCCATAATCTTTTGAACAAACATGATTCGATATCTGTACGATATCATTGACATTGACAGTAAGGGAAACTTCTTATAACAGAAAGTATTCTGTTAAACACACAAAGATAGAGAAATATTACAGCAAACTATTAAAAAAGTAATCTGTCAATATCGTAACTACATTGTGTCTTGGACATAACTCTACATGTGAACCTGTTTCTAAAGTTTGATGATGTAAAAAAAAGAAACTGAAGTTTTGGGTTTAAAAGGTTGTCATTTTTTGTATTATTTTGTTTCTGATCTAAAATATTTGAAATTTATTCATTTAATAAATACAAGCTGGAAACTGTGGAAAGGAATAATACTTTAAAGTTAAAGGAGAAATTAAATATTTAAAAATTCAATCTTGTTTCTAATTACATGAAATCAATGGGTGCATTTTTCCTGCACTTGAAAAAGTGGATTTTATTGTTAAATTGACTATGATTTGGAAAATTTTTTTGTGGCAATTGTATTAGAAAAAATTTTATTAGCACAACAGCTAGATGTAAATCCTAATCCAAGTGTGATTACAGCTGCCCTATAAGATTACTATATCATGTTTGACTTAGTTCATTACACTGTCACATTCAAGGGGGATTACTCTGTAGTGTTTGTCAAAGATCATGACTGGGTATCTGTTTACTTTAAATATTTTGATGTCAGGATGACTTTTGTTTTGATTTCACATTTAGAAGGGTAATATTTACCTCTTTCAGTTTGAATAAGTTCCTCAATTCTTTATTTAGTTGTTAAAAACACTGCATGGTGATATGAAAATACAATGTAGGTTGAGCCTGGTTCTGGTAAGTTAGGCTTAGCCACTTTACAAGAAACAGCTTTATTAAGGGAAGTGTTTAAAAAGTTACAAAGTCTAGACAGCTGGAGTATGTTCGTACAGCAGTTTAGTATTTATATCAGACCAGCTTATTAAATTACACTGCACTTGTCTACAACAGGAGTTAACAGTACATGTATAGCATTAATATGTGTACAATTAAATAGTGTGTGAATGTTTGTCTAATCTTGACCAGTTTCTGTGAAATACTTGTCAATATAAAAAGTTTAAAGTTGATTGAGAGCAACCTTTCTTTTTTCATATCACATTCATCACATTATCTTAAAAAAACATAAATCAAATTATTTTATTAAAAAAAAGCTCTGTATATTGATACAGTTCAGTTGTTACTTTTTATTGCATTTTAATTTCCTTGAAGCAGAATTATACCTGAGGTTTATACAAAAGGTACATACCAGTCAGTATAAATTAATTTCTATCGATTGATCTATAATGTCCGCCAGCATTACACCAAGGAGTTACTAGATCCTAGATGTAGTTTATGATACTTATACCTCTCTATATACATGTGTATGTATATGTATATCAAACAAACAATGACAGTCCCGAGTTGACTTAAGCACAGCTGAGGTTGACAAAAGTTTATTTTAGAAGCAGTTTAGTCAGACCTGGTATATATGTTACACACTTGACTCAGACTTTCAACTGTTGTGTATATTACAAATATTAAAGCGCACTAGTATAGGTTTTATCAAGTGACATTTAATATATGCAGACCAGGATTTTATACCTGAAGGCACTCCACACCATTTGGAGATAAGACATACAGCTATTGAATGAATCAGGGGATTTAAAAATAGGAATTGTAAAATCCTGTATTGATTAATTCTCCTAATTATTATGCAAGAGGATTAGTTGCGTGGTGTTACCAGGTTTTGTTTTGGGGGATAATCACTGACGTGGAACAGGAATAACCCCCCAGGGTGCCCCAGTGTCAAGCTTCAATGACTCACTGTGTGGTGTGTCCCCTTTCAATGACAAACTTCTTCAACTGTGGAAAAGAAAAATAACCCAAGGATATACCACTAACCGAAAGTCTCCAAATTTATACCGAAAGTGAAATTAACTTATTTACGATTGAGGACTGTGTCTGATAGAAGTGTGTACACTGTGGTTAATACTTGGATATTGTGATTAAGTCTGATCAACTGGGACTTAAATATTCTACCTTGTCTTGTTAATTGATAGTATATGTGGATTGTGTTCTATAAGATAATGGGGATCTAATGGTTCAATACAAGATAAAGAAGCTAGTTCATTGAGGGATATACTGTACAATTAACTGCCTTTCTGTGGACATTAGTAAACAGAGGAGATAAAATGACAGTGCGGGACCGGTTACCGGAGTTCGAAGCTAAGCGAGATCAGTATGAGAGGGAGAGCATGCGAGGAAAGAAAGGGAAGAAATCCAAAAAGGAGGAGGAGGATGATTTATCATTACCGGGGTTCCTGGAGAAAGTGAAGGGGATGGAGGGGAAACTGGCACTGCTGAAAGCAGATGTCAGCGAACTCAAGAAAATGCAGAACACACTGTACTGTGCTCCCAAAGTGTCCGACACGGACATCCAAAGAATGGAGAACCTGGCAGACAAGATTCTGTCAAGCTCCATCACGATCAGGAAAGACATAGAACTCCTGTCGTCTGCAGGGACCGACCCCAAGTCACAGAAAAAAGGACTGATTCTGTCAAATGCAGAACAGCGCGTGCAGAGCATGCAGATAGAAAGACTTTCACATGAACTTAGAACAACAATGAATGACTTCAGAACTAGCCAGGCTAGTTATCTGGAAAGAACAAAAGCTAGACTTAATAAACAGAGACAGATAGCTGCAATAACGGGGGATCCTCAGTATGATGTCAACACAAACTCCGTGAATTTAGACCTGAACTTTCAGAACACCAACGCTTTCATTGATCCTTATTTCCAGGAATCCCAGAAAGCCATTTCTGAGTTACAGGACCTTCAGGAGCGAGAGCGGGAATTGACTGACCTTGAGAGTCAGATTCATGAGGTCAACATGTTGTTCAAGGAGATGCACGGACTGGTACAAGACCAGGGTAAAATGGTAGACAATATAGAGAAACATGTAGAACTAGCTGTAGGGGAAGTTCAAAGTGGGAATCAACAGCTAGCAGAGGCAAAGAAACATCAGTGTGCTGCGAGGAAGAAAAAAATCATCTGTTTCTCCATCTTAATTACTGTTGTTGTAATTGTTGTTATAATCATTGTTGTGACGATGACCAATAGTGATTCAGAGTGATAAAGTTAGAGAGTGTAGGATAGCTGGAATTTACAGTGACCACTGAACTACACGTACATGTACATTTATGATATCATAAAGAATCATTTAACGTCCATTATACATGTACATGCATTTAAATTATTGGATTTTCAGATGATAAAATGCTACATGAAAATTTTTATGAAATAAATTTTATTTCCAAAAACTTCATTACAAATAAAAACCCTGAGGTCAACATACCTGTGTGGAGAATGTTTACAGCAAGATGACAAGATAAGAATGTCAGGATTTTACCTATTTACATCAATGAACATAAAAACAAATAATTGTGTAGTTGTTTATGTAAATGTCCTTGTTGTAGCCACTACAATACTGTACAGTATAATTATCAATATCGGGTTGTACAATACACAGTTGTACAATTATACAGTACTAAATTTTAAAACAGTTATACAGTAATATAGTATGTGTACTAAACAGTCATAAAATTATAAATAATACTACACAGTTATACAAAACTAGACAGTTGTACAATTACTTTATATACAGTACCACACAATTATGAAAAAATTATTTAGTATACTAACAATTCATTCAATTGAAAAGTGCACATAGATAATTCAGATTATACAGTACTACAGTGTGTATTGATTTAAGAAAAAAGTGTCTTATTAGCTCACCTGAGCCGAAGGCTCAAGTGAGCTTTTCTGATCACATTTTGTCCGTCGTCCGTCCGTTTGTCTGTCCGTCCGTCTGTCCGTCTGTCTGTCTGTCTGTCTGTCTGTAAACTGTTCACATTTTCGACTTCTTCTCAAGAACCACTGGGCCAATTTTGACCAAACTTGGTACAAAGCATCCTTGGGTAAAGGGAAATTTAAATTGTTAAAATGAAGGGACATATCCCCTCGCAAGGAGAGATAATCAAGAAAAGGCAAAAATAGGGTTGGGTCATTAAAAAATCTTCTTCTCAAGAACCACTGGGCCAGTAAAGCTGAATCTTATGTGGAAGCATCCTGGGGTAGTGTAGATTCTAAATTGTTCAAATCATGAACCCCGGGGGAAGGGCGGGGCCACAATGGAGAATCAATTTTTATATAGAAATATATAGGAAAAATCTTTGAAAATCTACTACTCAAGCACCACTGAGCCAAAAAAGCTGAAACTTATGTGGAAGCATCGTGGGGTAGTGTACATTCTAAATTGAACAAATCATGACCCACAGGGGAAGGGCGAGGCCACAATGGGGAATCAAAAGTTTTACATAGAAATATATAGGAAAAATCTTTGAAAATCTTCTTCTCAAGAACCACTGAGCCAGAAAAGCTGAAACTTATGTGAAAGCACCCTGGTATAATGTAGATTCTAAATTGTTCAAATCATGACCCCCGGGGGAAGGGCGGGGCCACAATGGGGAATCAAAGTTTTATATAGAAATATATAGGAAAAATCTTTGAAAATCTTCTTCTCAGGAACCACTGAGCCAAAAAAGCTGAAACTTATGTGGAAGCATCCTGGTATAGTGTAGATTTTAAATTGTTCAAATCATGACCCACAGGGGAAGGGCGAGGCCACAATGGGGAATCAAAGTTTTACATAGAAATATATAGGAAAAATCTTTGAAAATCTTCTTCTCAAGAACCACTGAGCCAGAAAAGCTGAAACTTATGTGAAAGCACCCTGGTATAATATAGATTCTAAATTGTTCAAATCATTCATGACCCCCGGGGGAAGGGCCGGGCCACAATGGGGAATCAAAGTTTTATATAGAAATATATAGGAAAAATCTTTGAAAATCTTCTTCTCAATAACCACTGAGCCAGAAAAGCTGAAACTTATGTGGAAGCATCCTGGTATAGTCTGGATTCTAAATTGTTCAAATCATGACCCCCGGGGGAAGGGCGGGGCCACAATGGGGAATCAAATTTTTACATAGAAATATATAGGAAAAATCTTTGAAAATCTTCTTTTCAAGAGCCACTGAGCCAAAAACGCTGAAACTTATGTGGAAGCATCCTGGTATAGTGTAGATTTTAAATTGTTCAAATCATGACCCACAGGGGAAGGGCGAGGCCACAATGGGGAATCAAAGTTTTACATAGAAATATATAGGAAAAATCTTTGAAAATCTTCTTCTCAAGAACCACTGAGCCAGAAAAGCTGAAACTTATGTGAAAGCACCCTGGTATAATGTAGATTCTAAATTGTTCAAATCATGACCCCCGGGGGAAGGGCGGGGCCACAATGGGGAATCAAAGTTTTATATAGAAATATATAGGAAAAATCTTTGAAAATCTTCTTCTCAAGAACCACTGAGCCAGAAAAGCTGAAACTTATGTGAAAGCACCCTGGTATAATATAGATTCTAAATTGTTCAAATCATTCATGACCCCCGGGGGGAAGGGCCGGGCCACAATGGGGAATCAAAGTTTTATATAGAAATATATAGGAAAAATCTTTGAAAATCTTCTTCTCAATAACCACTGAGCCAGAAAAGCTGAAACTTATGTGGAAGCATCTTGGTATAGTGTAGATTCTAAATTGTTCAATTCATGACCCCCGGGGGTAGGGCGGGGCCACAATGGGGAATCAAATTTTTACATAGAAATATATAGGAAAAATCTTTGAAAATCTTCTTTTCAAGAGCCACTGAGCCAAAAACGCTGAAACTTATGTGGAAGCATCCTGGTATAGTGTAGATTTTAAATTGTTCAAATCATGACCCACAGGGGAAGGGCGGGGCCACAATGGGGAATCAAAGTTTTATATAGAAATATATAGGAAAAATTTTTGAAAATCTTCTTCTCAATAACCACTGAGCCAGAAAAGCTGAAACTTATGTGGAAGCATCCTGGTATAGTCTGGATTCTAAATTGTTCAAATCATGACCCCCGGGGGAAGGGCGGGGCCACAATGGGGAATCAAATTTTTACATAGAAATATATAGGAAAAATCTTTGAAAATCTTCTTCTCAAGAACCACTGGGCCAGAAAAGCTGAATCTTATGTGGAAGCATCCTGGTATAGTGTAGATTCTAAATTGTTCAAATCATGACCCCCGGGGGAAGGGCGAGGCCACAATGGGGAATCAAAGTTTTACATAGAAATATATAGGAAAAATCTTTGAAAATCTTCTTCTCAAGAACCACTGGGCCAGAAAAAGTGAAGCTTATGTGGAAGCATCCTGGTATAATGTAGATTCTAAATTGTTCAAATCATGACCTCCAGGGGAAGGGCGGGGCCACAATGGGGAATCAAAGTTTTACATAGAAATATATAGGAAAAATCTTTGAAAATCTTCTTCTCAAGAACCACTGGGCCAGAAAAAGTGAAGTTTATGTGGAAGCATTCTGGGGTAGTGTAAATTCTAAATTGTAGGAATCATGACCCCCAGGGGAAGGGTGGGGCCATTATAGGGAATCAAAGTTTTACATAGAAATATATAGGAAAAATCTTTGAAAATCTTCTTCTCAGGAACCACTGGGCCAAAAAAGCCCATGGAAGGATCATGGGGTTGTGTAGATTTCAAAACGTCTAAATTATGATCAGTGGGGTAGGGTGGGGATGCATTATGTATAACAAGGGGGAAATCTGATAAAGAACAGAATGGTCAACGCTTCTCAGGTGAGCGATGTGGCCCATGGGCCTCTTGTTTTTTGATTTCATGATGTGATCATTCGATTGGCTTGCGTGATAATTTGCATAAATGCATAAAATTATCACGCAAGCCAATCGATTGATCATCGTCATGAAATTGAAAAATCTGAAAGTTATTCCATGTATATACAGTGGACCTTCAGATATCCAGACCCCAGATATCCAGATGCTTCAGCATCCGGACGACATTTCATCGGGACGGAATTTTTATATGTTATATTGTCTTGTTTATTTGGTGAGGTATCCGGACGCTTCACATATCCAGACAAATTAACTAGGAACCAAAGCGTCCGGATAAATGAGGCTCCACTGTACATGCTTTTGATTCCGCCAATCCACGTGCTCAAAGCCCTGCATCTGATGAACCAATACTTTGATGGGGAAATAAAGTACATTTACTATTTGTAATTTTATCTCTGACAAAGACATTGGAAATGAAAATATTTTGTCGTTAGTTCTATCAACTTGTGTCAATCTATCAGAACAGTAAAACACTGATATAATGAAGACCAGGGACAAACAGTTTTATTTCATTATATCAGTGTTTACTATAAGTGTGTTTCAAAATAATTTGTCTCTACACACACCAGGATTATCTGAACAGAGAAAAGATAATAACATGGATACAATGAGTTAATTCTGTCAGAGTAAAAAACGTTTCTCTAGATCTGACTGCTGTACATAAAAATAATAACAATACTTAATAATACCATTGTGAAATTGTAAATTTTATGGCCCCAAGATTAGGATTTCTGGTGTGAGGGTGATGCTTTACTGATTATAGAGTGAACATGCATAAATTCTTCTCTAAGACTTCTGCTCCTGGGTATGAAACATTAACTACAATTTGTTATGATAAGCAAAGGTGCCTCTTCAATAATTGTGTATTCCATGACCCCAGGGTCAAGGGTTCTGGTATTAGTGCAGGTCTATTAATTTTATTGTATACCTACTGTGTATCACTCAATATTACTGTTGAATTTACGTAATCATGTGACGACGTGATCTGACTTTCCGAATCACCACACTGTGGTTTTCTGAATCCATATCACCACTCTCTGAAACTGATGATGTATTACGCAAAAACGTGATGTTATTTTTCTTGCGCATTAAAAAGTCCCTTGTAATTATGCTTTGTTTTATGGATTAATGTTATACAATTGATCTCTATAGTGTTATTTTGCTCTCTTTAGCTAGTTATAAGGGGATAAATAATAAATTTATTATTATAACAGTAACATGATCCGAAGAGCTGTATCACGTCTCGTTGACAAGCGCAGATCATCAGATCAACCTCGACGCAAACTGTTATAATAATATATATATATACATGTAACGGTATAGAGAAAATGCATTATTTTTTGAAAATCTTCTCCTCTACTCCTTAGGATTAAACAGATGGACTATTTACATACATGTAGTTATGATGAGCAAGGGTCCTTCTTGAGAATGCCTCAAGTCATGGTCAAGGATACCATAGAGGGGAAAGGCTCTAATGATTAATACTGAAAATGAATTACTGCTTTGAAATCTGCTACTTTGTATTCAAACAAACATTTATGGTGAGCAAGGGTGCCAAAATTGTGAATAGTATGGACCCAGGGTCCAGGGTTCCTGTGGGGCTTGGGGCACTACTGACTTTTGCTGATTATTACTGATTAGTTGAAATGTGTTTTTTGTTACCCTATTCTGCCTATTAATTGGTATTAAGAAACCAAACTAAGTATGCTAAATGTGATTTATGCCCTCCTTCGAAGGGCATATTGCTTTAATTTGCTGCTGTCTGTCAGTCGGTCTGTTTGTCCTTACAGGTACTGTATCACTTTGTGGTGGCTTGTGACAGATTGTTTTTGTCTTAGTTTAGGTGCCTTTGCAGGTTTATTGATATTGATGATTTTGTGTTTTGGTTTTTATTATTTTTTTTGTTTAAAGTTTGTAACCTGGCATTAGTCTAAGTGTCCCCTTTGTTAATCTGAAGGCTCAAGATGTTACAAGTGATATTGGCTTTCTACGCATGTCAATCGACTGAGAAATTTTTATTAAGCTAATGTGCACGATCAATAACTGAAATCTGTTACATGAAATCAGATTGATTTTTGTTCAGAAAATCTACTTTGATGAAATTTGAACTAAGTATTATCAGAATGATTTAGAAGACTTTCTTTACTAAATTTAAAGATGGAAAAAACCCATGTGTAACCATTATTTTTAAAAAAAACTTTGATGACTTTGTTGGAGGAAAAAGAGATACATGCTGCTGGTGTTTTGGTGACAATTTATAAAAAAAGTTTAATGAGTTTATGAATCAGATGAGTAAATCATCTACAGTAACCCTAGATCACTTAATTTTCATTAACTCATTATTAAGGGAGACAGAATATCCACAAATTTTTATTATTGTTCTATATTATCTTTTAGAAATATGAATATACCCAAGAATGAAAATTTCACAAGCAGGCCAGCTGTCTTTGGTAATTACATGAAAATAAAGTTCTCATGAATAAAAGGTGATTTACAGTATATAGTTTATGGAAAAGGTATATATATTGGGCAACAAATTAATTTCCTATGAAAGCAGAAAAGGGCTTATGAAATGGAAATTACGTCTTATTTTTTCCATTTAAGTCTTAAGTAGTACATAATGAAAGGTATAGAAGGCACAGAGTGAGGGTTTACGGAGGGTTTATAGATCACATTTTATCTGTAGGTTGTCTGTCCGTCTGTAAACGTTTTGCATTTCTGACTTATTCTTCAGAACAACTAGGTCAATTGAAATTCATTTGATAAAAAAATAACCATAGATTCATTTATTTCCAAGTTATATTCAGTAGAATTAAAGTTGGACCTAATTTTGAGTCACATTTTTATACCCCCGCAAACGAAGTTTGGGGGAGGGGTATATAGGAATCACCTTGTCCGTCTGTCTGTCTAGCTGTCCATCTGTCTGTGCAATCGTGTCCGGTCCATATTTTTCGTACAGAGGGACATTAGAATCTACTACTCCACACTAAGATTGCTCATGACCTAAGTATGTGTCATGACCTTGACCTAAGGTCATTTGGGAAGTTCAAGGTCAATGGAAGAAAAATTTCATAATTCATGTCCAGTCCATATCTTTCTTTTGGATAAACTTGGTAGGTTCTCATTTCACACAGATTGCCCATACCCCAAGAGTGTGTCATGACCTTGACCCAAGGTCATTTGGGGAAGTTTAAGGTCACTGGAAGAAAAATTTTATAATTTGTGTCCGGTCCATATCTTTTTTTAAGGATAAACTTAGTAGGTTTTCATTTCACACAAAGATTGCCCATGACTGAAGGGTGTGTCATGACCTTGACCCAAGGTCATTTGGTTGAAGTTCAAGGTCACTGGAAGAAAAATTTCATAATTCGTTTTTGATACATATCTTTATTATGGAAAAACTTACTTTTGAAAAACCCAGCGGGGGTATTTTGTCCCATTTGGACAGTTTTAGTTAAGCCAAGATTTGTATGCAGAGAAAAGATCTCTATTACATCAAAGCCACATTAAACAATGATATTAGAATGATATTACAGCATCTTCATGTTATATGGATCTAAATTGGTTTCTTTACATAGGGACATAATACTAGTATGAGGCTAACTCATTTTCAAGGGAATAAAGATGGTGATAAACACCTCTAAAAATCTGCCAATGTGACTTGGGGAAAGCTCGTGAGCTTTTCTGATCACCTGTTGTCCAACGTACGTCTGTCCATCTATAAACTTTTCACATTTTTGACTTCTTCTCAAGAACCACTGGGCCATTTTAACCTAACTTGGTACAAAGCATCCTTGGGTGATTTGGAGTTTAATTTTTTAAATTAACGACCAAGTCCCCTTAGAAGGGGAGATAATCAACAAAAGACTAAAGAAAATCTTCTTAAGCAGCACTGGTCCAGAAAAGCTGAAACTTATGTGGAAGCATCCTGGGGTAGTGTTAATTCCTAATTGTTAAAACCATGACCACCTGGCGTAGGGCAATAGGGAATCCTTTTTAAGTTTTACATAGAAATAAATAGGAACAATCTTAAGAAATCTTCTTCGCAAGAACAATTGGCCAGAAAAGCTGAAATTATTTGGTAGCATCCTGGGGTAGTGTTGATTCTAAATTGTAAAGGTTAAAATCATGATAAGGGCCCCCGGGGGGGGGGGGGGGGATGGTGAAACATTGTAAATTTTTGGCATTTATTTTACTAATTAAAGAACTTTATTAAGGAATCCTTCCTGTTCTATTCTCATTTGTGTAGCTGTGTTTATTTTATGGAATAGTCTTTGTTTGAGTGACTGCTGTGTGAGGATAGAGCAGCCTGGAGGTTCCCTGTCACCTTCTGACAGAATCTGCCTTGTTATATATCATTCATATAAATAAGTTTACAAACAAAAATTAACTGAAATAAAGTTTGTACAATAATATAATAATTCTGATAATTGTAGCTGTTTGCATTTTGTGAATTGGTTCTTGTCTGAGAGTATGAGTATAGAGCAGCCTGGAGGTTCCCTGTCATCTGTTGACAGATCCCTAGAATCTGCCACGATATGTCTCTGTAATCTAATTCTATAAGCTGCCCCTGATCATAGTGAACTAAGGTCTGTAGATCATCTAGAGCTGTTTGTGCTCTCATTTTGTCTACATGTCTGTAACACAAGATCTCTAGCATGTATAACAGTATATAGGGTGGGACAGATAATTCAGAAATATGGTTGTTTAGATCAGACTGTTGTTCTGGTATCAATTCACTGATGTAATGGATTTCATTGATAAGTTTGATGTCCCGTGCTAAAGCCTGTCTTATCTTTGTAGACCAGGACTGCCCCCGTACAGCCTCAGTATACATCTCTCTATCTACATTATCCCAATAAATCACATATGGCTGTTTTAATATGACTTTGATCCCCTTTACAATAGATAAAACTTCCTTGTATCTAAGTGTCTTGTAATAATACATTGCTGTGTACAGCATGTCAGTAATACAACCAAACTTGGCTGCTAATTTCAGCATGTGACAGGAGATTTTGTCAGCTATGTACATCAATTTGTTTTTATGTATGCAAGTTTTCATGTGTAATATAAAAGCAGTGTACTGAAGGACAGAAGCTGTAAGTCTCTGTAGCAATAGGACTTGATACTTTGTCAGGAGGGGTGAACCTATCATCTGTTCTATTTTATGTAGATATCTCATACAGCCTTGCATGTACAATTTGTTTAATGTGTTATGACTTAATATTTCATTGTATAGGTATATATCAAACTCAGCCTCAGAAATCAGAGTCAGTTTATCTGTACAGATGGAGAGTCTAGGTTTATGAAGGACATTTATAATATAAGGCCTATTGGAGGGACTGTATAGCAGGAATGCTAAACCCTTCTCATACAACTCATACAGTCTTATAAATAGTTGATGTTGTTTGATGCCATGGATTTTGCTCAAAAACATGTTGTTATCTGGAATGAAAAAGTTAGGACAGACCCCCTCATACACCCATTTGAGGATGAGTTTAAAACAGACCCAGAAACATCCCAGGAGATTTTGTGGACACCAGTGAGGGATTGTATTTTGTTGTATCACCCAGAAAACTGCGGTCTTCATGTAATAGGAGCACAGTAATTTATCATCATCACTTAGTCCATTGTTTATTATTTCTGTTAAAAACAGTTTAAGTAAGCCGTAGGTTAAAAATTGACAGTGGTTCATTGCATACACAAGTTTTTGTTATGCCAGAGAGAAAGAAACTCTCCATTCATAATCTTCATGTCTTCCTAGCTTATGTCCTATTGCTACAAAGTGACATCCATTCTTTACAATATCATCAACTACATGAGGCTTGGGCCATGAGTGACATCTGTCTATCCATGAGTAGGCAGGTGGAGGCCAAAAGTCACTAACAAAACAGTAGGCAGTATCAATATCTAGTGTTCCAAGTTTTCCACTGGCACAAGGTCCATGTTGAGTTGACTTTCTTATTGATTCAGAACACATGATCTGTCTATATAAAGAACTAGATATATAAAGTCTCTTATTCATTCTAACACAAGCTCCCTGGACTTGTCTGTTCATGTTAGGTGACAGTAAATATAACAAAGTGAATCCTGGTGGACTATCAGAACAGTCACAGAGGATCAGTGTTTGTCTGTGTGTGTTGTAATACTGAGACTGAGATAATTCCCAGATCACGCGGTGTTTATTTGGCCAGCCCATAAAGTCTAAATCTGATCCTTTCAATCTTAATCCTTCTCTTAGACTTCCACTCACCATCACACTGATCCCATCACTTGCTATTAGATTATCCACCATATCCTCGAGGTCCATCATATCGCGCGACATTGCCACCAGTTCTGAGGTCCCCAATTTATGGCACAATCCCACAAACACTGACTCTGATATGTGTTGTATAGCTGTTTCACTGAGAATGATGAAGGGATAATTATGTATCTAGTAAATATATATACAATGTATACCATTTTTGGAAATCAATAAAGGAATCATTCGAAAAAAAAAATTAAGCTGGTACATGTACATGCAGAATTTAGGAATGTTTTACAAGTAACATTGCACTTTCACAAATTTCAATTTTATCCTTTTTATTTAAGAAAAGTAGCAAATTTTTCATTTATTAATGAAAAATATTACATCTATAATCAAGATAATTTAGAGTAGAAATGTGAGAATGCAAAACCCATTTACTAGACGTATTGTCAGCCCTTTTCAGTGGTGTTTACAGCATTATTAATAAGCAAATTGAAAACAGTTGTGAAACGTAAACAGTTTTTGTAAAACAGGGCACAAGCTCTGTTGTTGTTTATGTTTACATTTCACCAGGTGTGTTCAAGTGCTAAACTTAGCACCGAATGACAATCTTCCTTTGGGCTTTTGGTTTCTCACATTTCTACTCTGAATTAAGTATAGTTTTAATATTGTTAAATTAATACACAACAAAATTGCCACGTTTCTAAGTATTAAAGATAAATTAAAAAATTTGCGAAAGTGCAAGGATGTATCAAATACATTCAGAGATTGAAATTTTCGAAAACTTGTTGATAAAGATAAGATTTTTATTACAGTTTTCGTATGAAATGCTAACGGTATATATTATTCATGAAATTATACAGAAAATTTGGGAAAATATTATCCAAAAATTTCTCATCTCCAGAATAGCATAAAGAAAGTCAAAGCATTGTCATATTTATTTAAGAAATAAGGTCTCATTTTTAAACATCTATTGGGATATAAATACGGGTTGGTCACGAGATTAAATCTTGTACCAACCCGTATTTATAGCCCGATAGATGTTTTAAAATGATACCTTATTACGTATATTTACATTTGTGACTTATTCATACTTTATAATTGCCAGATTGTGACTTTTAACGTGGGAAATGCATTCTTTTACAAACCCAACGGCATGTATGAAATCCACTGAACGCACATCGACCCTTTATGACGTTACTGAGAAATTACGTCGAACGTTTATCCATACGAACATCTATGACCTCTTGACCCCGTACCAGTATTTATACAGTTATAGATACGCATTGCTTTCAGTAGTGTTATATAACGGAAAACATTTGCAAATGTAAATATATCGAAATAAATCTTCATGTATTGTCAATTAAAATTAGTTAAAATATAATGCCTAGGTCTATGATGTGATAAATATGAAATTAAACTTTTTCAGGGGAAAAATTTGTCACAATTATAGTTCCTCCAAATTGAGATCAGTGTTGTGGCCAATAGGCCCATTATTTACTTTAAAAAAATTCTTCTCAAAATTCAGTTGTTCGTTGCTTATTATTATTATTTTTAAAAAAAATGAAAAGAAACTGATTAAGATAATGTTAGCATTTTATATGTTATACAAACTTACATTAAATAATTTTGTGAGCCTCTAATGGAGTCCATGTTGACAGGTAAGATCTGAAAAGTTCCAGGTGCTATATTTAGTAAAAGAAAATCAATAAAAATTCTGACATTCAATCTTTAAGAGATAAATTTCAATGAACAAAAAATATGTAAGAAATGCATGTTTATGTTAAATTTTGTTTGTGGTCTACACAAAGCTGCCATAATTTTATTTGAAACCTGGCAAGCTTTTAATTATAAAGGCAGAATAGACTAAATACTTAAATTAAAATAAAAGAAGAACAAAAGCACTCCTTTACCTACTTTAGGCCTAAAGATGACCTCGTTGACCCCTGCTTATGAGAAGATACTGTGGTTTCATCAATATTCGTTGAGCACCAATTTTCGTGGATTTCGTTGTTGAGCAGATCCACGAATTCAAATGTTCATTGAATTACAAAATATGACATTATTTTGTATAGGCAATGCCTTTGTCCACGAAATTACGTATCCTCGAAAATGTCTTTTTTACAAAATCCACGAAAATTGATGCCAACGAAAATTGATGAAACCACAGTAATACCCCATCTGAACAAAGATACTGGGTTCTCTTCATTTTCTCTCTGGTAATTTTTTGAATAGGGATATCTGCAGCAGTTTATTTATCTACTATCCATTCGTCTAATCTGTAAGTTATCCTTTCAAAACACTTCCTGTTGACCATGGGTCTTTTGTTTTGTGTGGGTGCCAGAGATTACGACATTTATGACTGACATTCTAAACAGAAGATTTTCTCCCAATAGAAATTAAGAACATTTCATAAAATATATGGATTTTTTTCAATAAATGAAAAAAAAAACAAAATGTTTACCAAAAGTATAGCATTTCAACAAAGATGAGAGAATACCTCCAAATAAGAGGTGCTTTTAAAACAATGATACCTGTATGGCAGCTAATATTGAGGATTGAAATTTCTCAGTTTTGCCTCTAAGGTTAAGGTCAAAATATCAAACATGTTGATTTTTAAAGAAAGACCTTGGCATAAGGACTACACCTGTGAAATATGAAATTCAAGGGGTTTACTGTTCAGAGGTTATGGCCAATGTTAAAGTTTTTAAAAATTGAGTCAAACTTCAAGGTCATTGTCTAAAGGTCAAATTTGTTGGTAACTGTATTCAAAGATACTGACAAAAGGAATACACTTGCGAAACATGAAAGCCTAGTGCTAACTGTTCAAAAGTTAGGACTAAGAATTAAGTTTAATATTTTTTTGTATAAGTGGGTAAAATTCCAAGGTCAAGGTTAAGAGATCAAATTTGAGAAAACGGAAAAAAGGTCTTGTCAGAAGGATTTCACTTGTGAGATATAGTCAAAACCACTCAAAAATTATGGGCAAGGTTATGGTTTTTGCCATCAAATAGGCAGGCAGACAGGGCAAAAACTATATAGCCCTAAATCTTGAAGGGGGGGGGGGGCATAAAACCCCCAAAACAATAATATAATTAAATTGATGTACACTTCCGCAAAATGCTTTACAATATTGGAGTGTTTGGTTTGAATGCAATGATTTTATTTATTTATTTTAGGTAAGGGAATTCAATGGATTTAAGTACATCATGGAAGAAGCCATCACAGGTGACTTTGCCCTTATCAAGGCACACAAGGCAGACAAAGTGGGAAACCTCACCTTTAGGTCAGTAGATCAAGGCACTCAAGGCAACAAAGTGGGAAATCTTACTTTTAGGTTAGTAGGTCAAGGCAAACAAGGCAGACAAAGTGGGAAACCTCACCTTTAGGTCAGTAGATCAAGGCACTCAAGGCAACAAAGTGGGAAATCTTACTTTTAGGTCAATAGGTCAAGGCACACAAGGCAGACAAAGTGGGAAACCTCACCTTTAGGTCAGTAGATCAAAGCACTCAAGGCAACAAAGTAGGAAACCTCACCTTTTGGTCAGTAGGTCATGGCACACAAGGCAACAAAGTAGGAAACCTCACCTTTAGGTCAGTAGGTCATGGCACACAAGGCAGATAAAGTAGGAAACCTCACCATCAGGTCAGTAGATCAAGGCACACAAGACAGACAAAGTAGGAAACCTCGCCTTTAGGTCAGTTGATCAAGGCACTCAAGGCAATGAAGTAGGAAACCTCACCTTTAAGTCAGTAAGTCATGGCACTCAAGGCAACAAAGTAGGAAACCTCACCTTTAGGTCAGTAGGTCAAGGCACACAAGGCATATAAAGTAGGAAACCTCACCTTCAGGTCAGTAGATCAAGGCACACAAGACAGACAAAGTAGGAAACCTCACCTTTAGGTTAGTAGATCAAGGCACATAAGACAGACAAAGTAGGAAACTTCACATTTAGGTCAATAGGTCAAGGCACACAAGACAGACAAAGTGGGGAACCTCACATTTAGGTCAATAGGTCAAGGCACACAAGGCAAATAAAGTAGGAGACCTCACCTTTAGGTCAGTAGGTCAAGGCACACAAGGCAGACAAACTAGGAAACCTCACCTTTAGGTTAGTAGATCAAGGCACATAAGACAGACAAAGTGGGGAACCTCACATTTAGGTCAATAGGTCAAGGCACACAAGACAGACAAAGTAGGAAACCTCACATTTAGGTCTGTAGGTCAAGGCACACAAGGCAGACAAAGTAGGAAACCTCACCTTTAGGTCAGTAGATCAAGGCACACAAGGCTGATAAAGTAGGAAACCTCACCTTTAGGTTAGTAGATCAAGGCACATAAGACAGACAAAGTGGGGAACCTCACATTTAGGTCAGTAGATCAAGGCACACAAGACAGACAAAGTAGGAAACCTCACATTTAGGTCAATAGGTCAAGGCACACAAGACAGACAAAGTAGGAAACTTCATCTTTAGGTCAGTAGATCAAGGCACACAAGACAGATAAAGTAGGAAACCTCACCTTTAGGTCAGTAGATCAAGGCACACAAGGCTGATAAAGTGGGAAACCTCACCTTCAGGTCAGTAGATCATGGCACTCAAGGCAACAAAGTAGGAAACCTCAATTTTAGGTCAGTAGGTCAAGGCACACAAGGCAGATAAAGTAGGAAACCTCATCTTTAGGTCAGTAGATCAAGACACCCAAGACAGATAAAGTAGGAAACCTCACCTTCAGGTTAGTAGATCATGGCACTCAAGGCAACAAAGTAGGAAACCTCAATTTTAGGTCAGTAGGTCAAGGCACACAAGGCAGATAAAGTGGGAAACCTCACCTTCAGGTTAGTAGATCAAGACACCCAAGACAGACAAAGTGGGAAATCTCACATTTAGGTCAGTAGGTCAAGGCACAAATGGCAGAAACCTCACCTTTATGTCAGTAGATAATGGTACACAAGACAGACAAAGTAGGAAACTTCACTTTTAGGTCAGTAGGTCAAGGTACACAAGACAGACAAAATATTAAACCTCACCTTTAGGTCAGTAGATCATGGCACACAAGGCGGACAAAGTAGGAAACCTCATCTTTAGGTCAGTAGATCAAGGCACACAAGGCTGATAAAGTGGGAAACCTCACCTTTAGGTCAGTAGACCAAGACACACAAGGCAGATAAAGTGGGAAACCTCACATTTAGGTCAGTAGATCATGGCACACAAGGCCGATAAAGTAGGAAACCACATCTTTAGGTCAGTAGATCAAGGCACACAAGGCAGACAAAGTAAGAAACCTCACCTTTAGGTTAGTAGATCAAGGCACACAAGGCAGACAAAGAAGGAAACCTCACCTTAAGGTTTGTAGATCAAGGCACACAAGGCAGACAAAGTAAGAACCCTCACCTTTGGGTTTGTAGATCAAGACACATAAGGCAGACAAAGTAAGAACCCTCACCTTTGGGTTTGTAGATCAAGGCACACAAGGCAGACAAAGAAGGAAACCTCACCTTAAGGTTTGTAGATCAAGGCACACAAGGCAGACAAAGTAAGAAACCTCACCTTAAGGTTTGTAGATCAAGGCACACAAGGCAGACAAAGTAAGAAACCTCACCTTAAGGTTTGTAGATCAAGGCACACAAGGCAGACAAAGAAGGAAACCTCACCTTAAGGTTTGTAGATCAAGGCACACAAGGCAGATACATTGGGTTATCTCACCTTCAAGTTAGTTGATTAAGGCATACAAGGCCGATAAAGTGGGAAATCTTTACTTCAAGTTATTAGATATATACAAAGGCAACTCTAATACCTTTAATATATAGATCAAGACACTAGACAGTAATTCAAGATGCACAAAAGGCAACTCCACATTAAATATATGGCAAGACACTAGATAATATAAAGTGAAATAAATGATTCCTTTTTCTCTGGTGAAAGTTCTTGTTTTATAAGGCTGAGGAAAGTATTTGAGTGAGCTATTTTCTGTTTGTAGAAAGACAGCTCGTAACTTTAACCCCCCGATGTGTAAGGCTGGGCGAATCACGATAGCGGAAGTGGAGGAGATCGTGGAAGTCGGAGAAATTCCACCAGAGGACGTCCACGTTCCACATGTGTACGTACAGAGAGTCATCAAAGGACCCAGCTACGAAAAGAGGATAGAGGTAAAACATAAACAGAAAAAGGGGGATAGAGGTAAAAACAAACAGTAAAAAGTGGGCAGAGGTCAAAATATATAAAATAGGAAAGTTCAATATAGAAATCCTCTGTCTTTTAGTTGAATTATCTTCCTTATAGAGACTGACAACACGAACAGAAGGTAAAGAGGAGCCAGTGACAAATGACAAGGCCGCGGAAATGAGGAACCGAATCATAAAGCGGGCAGCTCTGGAGTTCCATGATGGCATATATGGTAGACAAGTGTTGTTTTTATTTTTTGTCAAATACTTTCACCAATGTAAATGCTGTTTATATTTCTGGTCAAATAAATTCAATCAGTCTGAAAGTTATTGATATTCCTGGTAAAATAAATTCAACCAATCTGAAAGTTGCTGTTTTTAGTCAAATAATATTATTAATATTAATATAATCTAAATGTTGATTATATTTCTGGTCAATACTTTCAGCCAATCTGGGTATTGGAATGCCGATGTTGGCCAGTAATTATATCCCACCAGGAATGACCGTCCATCTACAGAGTGAAAATGGAATCATGGGATTGGTTAGTCTCCTAATTAAATTGATAATTAAAGAATAAATTGCTTTAAATTTGGTACTTAAGACTGAGATAATTGTGGTTTAAGATTGATTTTATATCCCATTACTCTTACTTTAACTTTTCTGAAGGAAAAATAATTGTTTTATTGTAACATTACAGGGTCCGTACCCATTACCCAGTGAGGTTGACCCAGATCTGATCAACGCGGGCAAACAGACCGTAACCAACATCACAGGGAGCTCTTTCTTCTCCAGTGACGATTCCTTTGCTATGATTCGAGGGTTCGTTTATTACTCCAATCAAATCGATACAGCAAATCATAAGCTTCTTAAACCCTCACATATAACTGAAGAGAATGCAGCTAAAACAATTTATTTTCCCTTAAACTTCAATATGCCAACAGAGGAATTGATGCAGTTAATATTAATGATATTCTTAATCACAAAAGGGTCCAGTCTTACATTATTATCCATCATATTTCAAGTTCAAGAGTACACCTTATATTTCCTAAAGAAATACATCATTGGACTATTTCTTCCAAAGTTTTTAATTACAAGAAAACATTATATGGCATTGCTGTCAAATATCTGAAACATAATCCATTTTTACAGAGGACATATTAAGTAGACCATACGAGGGACATTACACATGTCTCCTTTAATTGTATGACTGATATTGTTTTTACAGAGGACACATTAACTTGACCATACTAGGGGCATTACAAGTATCTCGTTATGGAGATCTGGCCAACTGGATGATTCCGGTAAGCTAAAGGGTGTATATCAGGAAAAAGAAATTTTACTTTGATAATAATTTAGAAATGAAAGTTTCATGTACTCATTATGAAAATATTTTTTTTTATTTCATGTTTCTTATATATTATAATTCAATTCTAATGGGAAATTTGTGTGATTATGACTTATTCAATGAACTGTTTGCCTTGTTGTACTTATCTGTTATATCTTTTTTTAAGGGTCGGTTGGTCAAGGGAATGGGTGGAGCTATGGATCTGGTATCCAGTCACAAAACTAAGGTTATTGTTACCATGGAGCACCAGGACAAGGTTGTATAATATTCTGACTTAGGTTTACTCATTTAAAACCTTATCAATAAGTTTGTAGTTTGATTTATGGTTCAGTATAAGTTTAATGAGTGTTGATATATTTCAGAAAGGAAACAGTAAGATAGTCAACAGCTGTGATCTGCCCCTGACGGGTAAAAACTGTGTGGATATGATCATCACAGACAAGGTATGGCAGTCACTAGGGCTGGGACGATACAACTTTTTCTATATCGATACGTATCACGATATTTGAGCCACGATACGATATGTATCACAATATGTTTGATTGCTGATAAATTCTTTTTTTGCATTGAAATAAACAATTATTTCTTTGCAAATAAGAATAATTTATTCAAAATAATTGTTTATATATTGTAAAACAAAAATATTTTACTCAAGTGGTGTTAATTATTATTTATTTCATATCTATGTTTAAATTTAGCTTATTTATTTAATATATTAAACCCCAAATGTTAAATAAACAAAGAAAAACAGAAGTAAGATTTTTTTGGGCGATATTCCGATATTTCTTCATATGTATCGATATGCGTATCGTCCTAACACGTATCACGATATATCGATATCTCGATATATCGTCCCAGCCCTAGCAGTCACTGACATTCATAATGAATAATCTGTAATTAGAGATGCTGTAAAAATGTAAAAAAAAAAAAAAAAAACTCTGGGAGAGGCCCTCATATTCTTAATGGTGAATGTGATTATAATCCTTTATATTTCAGTGTGTGTTTGATTATATTTCTTTATATTTCAGTGTGTGTTTGACGTGGACTCAGAGAAAGGGCTTATTTTAACAGAGATTGCAGAAAACGAAGATGTCGCCAGCATTGTTGGTGCCACCAACTGTGAATTTGTGGTAGGTACACGTTAACTACTCCTTATAATAATTGAGTTTACAGTTTCGTGAATTTCTTTTTTAAAAATCAAATTAATGAAAAATTAAATGACATACTATTCCATGTGTGTAGGTTATTAAATTGAAAAAAAAAATTGAATGAATCAAATTTACACAATTTTTAATAACAGATATTGCCTTTAAATAGTGTATATGATTCATCTATTAATAAATGACTTACCTGTATACAACTTGCAAAATTTGTTATATTTGAAATAATCTTGTGATATCCATTTGAGAATTCCCTATAGGACTGCACCAGAGAGTGAAATGGATTATTTCTATATCCAGATCCATGGCATGTCTTGAGCAGAACCATACAATTCTTTTTAACATTAATCTTATTTCAGGTTGCTCCAGATGTGAAAGTAATGGGACAGATTCAGACATAGATAATGGGGAGACAACTCACTGCTGATCTTGTCAATGTGTGTCTGACTTTTATGTAATATGTAGACTTGAAAACTGGGTGTCATGATGAAAGGGATTGACTTAAACATTGATGTGGAGGTCAAAACACTCAACTCTGTGATCTGAACCTCGCATAATCATTGTGAGATATACATGTTCCCTTGGTATGTGAAAAATCCTGCTCCTCTACTTGTCAAAAGTAATGTTCGACCTAAGAACAGTAAATATTACTTTGTGGAGCATTATTTTATGTACAGTCTATATTAATGCATAATTGATAGATTTATGACTTTTCCAATGCTTTTCACACACAAAAATTATCTTATTGAACAACTTTAAGAACATGATATTTGTCATTTGATGAAGGATATGAGTATCATATTTCACTTAAGAAACATAACCTGTCCCGATTAAAAAGAGTTTTATCTAAATTAAGTATCAATGTAATTTTAAAGTAATTAAGCTTGCCAGATTCGCAGCATTGTTAAGGCTGAAATAAGGAGGAGGGGTCTAATTTATACGGGAAAAGTTTACTGTGACATCACCCTAAAATATTACTTTTATGTATTCCTCATAATACCAGAAAATGAAATAATTTGCAAGTTTCAAACTGCATAAGCATAATAAACAACAATAAAAGTTATCAAAGCATTTTAAAAAAGTTGCTAGTTAAATCCCATTCAGGTGGTTATTAACAGATCACTGATCTCGATGAACTTGTCAATCATGACGTCATTTTGGTAAACATGACGTACAGCTGTATCTCATGTGCTGTGAGAGGCAGATTGAGGAATTTTTTAACAATAAAAAATGCGTTTTATTATAAAACAGGATGTTATTTACAGGTGTTAAACAGGTATTAATACCAATGTATATCCTTTGTTCAGAACGATTATTCATTAACTATGGAGATAATGCATTTAAATAATTTTGTCATGTTTTTATGTTCAGATGAGGTATATTTTACATCGAGATGCCTCATTTAATTGTTCTTTCACAAGGGCATACACTAAATAAATCTTAATCATTCTTTGAATATAAATAAAGGATATGTTCTCTAATTTGAAAAGTACTACTGCTTTCTTTAAATCGAGAGGGTGACTTTATAAGTACACAAAATATTTCGAAATTTTAACTATTAAAACGCGATTTCTATTCAAAGCAGCAGCACTTTCCAGAAAGTACAAAGTATACAGAAACAATTAATAGCTTGAATTTTTATTTCAAATAGGGTATGCCCTAGCGATATTGAAATTTGTTAATAACCTACATTCAGTACACGTACTATGCATTCATCACGTGACAGTCCATTGATTGGACCAAACTTTATACAGTAATGAGTAGGTTATACTATGATATTTCCATAAGTATTTAAGTAAGTAATTACTCAGTAATAAAACAGCTGAATAAAAATGAATTCAGTTTTAAAAACAAAACCTGTTTTTGCATTTCTATTTTCCGTTGATTTCTCATAGTAAGCCTTAACAGTGCTGCGTTGTTATAGATCCAGACTCTCCAGATTACTTTCAAGGTTTTATTGAAGCAGATAATTGGAGACTTTTGGTTGCCTGTCCGAGACATTACCAATTCTCTTCAAATAATTACACAGTGACTGTCCTTAGGCATTAAACTTTTGATGCATGGCGTAGGGGGTATTAAAATTTTCTTTATATATCAAATTTGAAATGTGTACAAATAACACAGGTACAATTGAATATTTATATCTGAGGGCATTTTGATATCATGTACCTAATTTTCCTAAAGATAATGAATGTATGAATTCTGAAATATTTGTTTTGTTATAGAATAAAAGTGATATTTCTCTAGTTTCTGTTTTTTGGTTTTTTAAAACACAGGTTAAGAAGTTGTAGATGATCAAGGATTATTGATGTTCATCACTCATGTGTTGAGAAGGTTGCTTTATATGACAAAATGCTACAATGAAATGTTAAAGAAAAAAATGATTTTCTAAACCTCCACTATAAATAGATTCTGAAGACAAAAGGCCTGTGTAAAGAATGTGTACAACAAGGTGATAAGACAGGATGTGGGATTTTACCCATCTATATAATGCCCCTGTACAACAACTACAACATTACTACATGGATGGAATATAAAACCTTCTCCTCTACTCCTGGGTATTAAGCAGATGAACTAAGAAAATAGCTATGACGAGCAAGGGTCTTTCCTTTAGAAAATAAATTAATGCTTTGAACTCTTTTCCTTGACAATAATCGAAAATTTATGATGAGCAAGGGTGCCTATTCAAAATTTATGAAATGTGTGGCCCCAGGTTCAGGGGTTCCTTTGGATGCCACTACAGATTTTTGCTGATTGATTACTGATAAGTTGAAATTGATTTTTTTTTGTCCGTCAACTCTGAATATAGGTATTGAGTGAACACATTAAACATTCTTAGTGTATAGTTATGATGAGGAATGTGGTGCCGCTTTTAAAAATTGTGAATTTCATAGTCTCGGGATTAAAACAGGAACCAACTCGTGCAATTGTTGAAAAGTTTTCACATGATGTTCAGGTGACCTGTAAGGCCCATGGGCCTTTTATTTGTCAATTGCTACTAGCTAAGCTTTGTATCCTTCAAGTTATTATCTGTATCTGTGCTTGTCCGTACAGCTACTGTATTAATATGTGGTGGCTTGTGAGAGTTTTTTTTAACATCTTAGTTTTGTTGATTTAGCAGGTTTATGTATATTGGTGATTACCATACGTGTGTTGGTTTTAATGCTTTTGTTTAAAGTTTGTTACCTGGCATTAGTCTGAGTGCCCCTCTGTTAATCTGAAGGCCCAAGATGTTACAAGTGATCTTGGCAGTGAACAACAGTTTTCTGTGCACATCAATCAACTGAGAAAGTTTAATTCTGCTAAAGCATTTTAAAGTGCACGATCAATAACTAAAATCTGTTACATGAAATCAGATTGATTTTTGTTCAAAAAATGTACTTGTAATGATGAAAGTTTAACTATTTTTATCTGCGTGGCACAGTGATTAGAGCTTCTATCCTAGAGTTGCGATGAGGGAGTTGATCGTTACGTAGCAGGTTCGAATCTCACTGTCTGTTGTGGAAACTGGTCCTTCGGACAAGACCGTATAAACTGAAGTCCCGTGTCGCATAGATGCTGGCACGAAAAAGATCCCTTACTGCTTCATATTCTGAGTGCCGAGTACAGGACACAATTTGTAGATCTTTAACGGCAAAAGGTGGTGTCTCCATATGAGTGAAAAATTCCCAAAAGGGATTTAAAACAACATAAATCAATCATTATCTGAGAAGGATTTAAAAGACTTTTTTTTATTGAAACAAAAGATTGAAGAAAAACCATAGGCAGTCATTATTGTTTTAAACTTTTTTTCAAAATTTTCTTGGAGGAAAAAAGATATTTGTTGCTGGTTTTTGGGTGACAGTTAATTAAAAACTTTCTCAGTCTATTAATCAGAAGAGTAAATAACTTTTATAGTTCATCGAATAAATGCAGGATGTATGGAGATACGAACAGTATTCAATATCAAAGTCCACAAAACAATAAAAAAAAAATAGGAGCTGAGCAAACAAGGACCTCCGAAACATGAGATGGGATCAACCCTGAATCAACCCGGAATGTTCTATCTACCTGATCTATACTTAGGGCTCGCAGTGACCAGACAACAGGGGATGCTTACTCCTCCTAGGTACCTGATCCCACCTGTAAAATATCCAAGGGTCCTTGTTTTATGCTCTCTTCACAAATTTGTGTTGTTTATAGGTTTTTGAGACTGACCGCTCTTCATTATCTTCACTGTTTTTATTAAATTAAGCAGAAAAATGGCTTATGAAATAAAAAGAAAATATGCCCCATTTAACTGTTCCACATTTTGAGTCTTATTTAGCTTACAGTGGTGCAAAATAAAAGGTATAGAAGGCTGGAGAAAGTAAGGGATAACAGAGAAACTTCAGGCAAAGATTTCTGACCTTGCATGTAACCTGTTCTGGTTATTTGACCTACTCTGTTTTTATTAACAGCATTTCTTTTCCCATAAATTCTTTATTTTTCATCATTTAAAATTAAACTTAAATTATCTGCCTTGCTGACTGATGCTGAAAATTGTTCTCTTACTTTCTAAACCAGATTCTTCTTAAAAGTATAACACTGTAATTCATTCATTAGAATAATGAATTCATTTATTTTCGAATCGAAGTTGGATATAACTTTGGGTCAAATTTTAAAGCTTTTAAATTAAAGAATCAGAGACTATGAAATGAGAAATACAAGGATGAAACATATGGAGATAACGAACAGTATTCAAGGTAGTCGAGATCAAAAGTCCGTAAAACTATGTAAAATAGGAGCAGAACAAACACAGACCTAAAAATAATCAGAAGTGGGATCGGGTTCCATGGAGGCGTGAGCACCCTTGTCATCTGGTCACACCCGCTATGTAATCCTTGTCATAATCGGGAAATAACAAAAGAATCCAACGTCAATTCAATGTATAAATAATAGTAAAACAATTAATTATATGAAAAATGTCATTCAGTATTTGGCTCAATGACAAATTTTATTTGCTGACTAGGTCATTGTATTGACCATAGAACTTACAAAATCATGACTTTAAACGAGACTACAGATATTCTTGTTTCATCAATTTATTTGTCAAAAATTTACCTCGTTTTAGAAGTTGTTCACACATAGAGCATCGAGTTTTTCACTGAGATTTATAAACTCCATATGCAGGTGATAAAGTTATATTGCTGCATAAGTAAGGAAAGTTGATGGTTTAAAAGTTAAAGTCATAGATGTAAACTCTATCAGGTAATCTTTTAAAAATGTTACGAATTTTTCTAATTAAGTAATCCTATGGAAGTAACCTTCCCTGCTCTATTCTCATTTGCGTAGCTATGTGTATATTGTTGAAGAAATTTTGGTCTTAGAGATTGTTGGTATGAGTCTAGAGCACACTTTAGGTTCCCTGTCACCTGTTGACAGATCCCCAGAATCTGCCACGATATGTCTCTGAGACGTAAAG